TCTGGAACCGTAAATTGTGTTTTAAACACAAACAGTGCAATTTTTTCCCTCGCGTTGAGTCTCGCCAACTTCCTTGTATCCTCGTTTTAGTTATTTATTACACAATTGTTTAACGACGGCATCGAATGTGTCCAATGACGTAAGACGATATTCGCTTGAGGTGTTGCAAGTTAATGGAGGATATTACATAAATCAGATATCAGAATTATTACGATACCACTTAATAACATGCGGTTATTATGAAGTAAGATTTCAGGTTAGCACAGTTTCGAGAAGAAAGGTGACAGAAGTCTTCTGGGACGTTTCGCAGGGTAGTTTACTAGAAACCGACATTTCAGAGGTGCTTACCGCCTCCACCATGAAGGCCTTTAGTAATCCGGGCCATTTAGTAAGTTATGTCCGTGGATAATTAAATTTATAAAATTTGAAAGGGATGTCACCTGCGAAGGAGAAGTCTTTGCATTGGAAGAGATCTGTGAGTGGTTGAGATCTTTCGTGAGGCTTCTACTGACTCCTGGTGAATTGATGGTCTTTCCCAGAGTGCTTTGCGTTTGATGCGCGGACCGTTTCTAGTTCCGGGTGTGTGTGAGTAGTCGCTTATAGGCCTTTCTCGGGAAATATGACTATTTATTTGCCTTGAACTAAGTACCACAAAGGAATTTCCTGTCCAAAGATCGTGAAGTTAGAATATCATGTGTTTAAGGATCAAATTTATATCCACAAAACCCGGATGAATAGACCTTAAAGCACGAAATACTGCAACTTACAGATTTATTACGTTCTGCTTCGAGCTCTTTATAATGGCACAGCGGCTAATAAATCACACAGATTCTTCTCAATTTTTCAATAACTTCATACTTTCTCTAATTAGATTTTTAATTTGTGTGAAGCGACATTTTTAATTTTTTTTTGTATCGGTGCATATTTCAACAGTAGTTCATCAAAATAGTAACAATTAACTTCATAAATTCTTGTCCAGAAGCTAACAGCTGCTAGGCTATTAAATACACTTCCAAAACCCAGGGCTTCATTAACGTGTTTACTCGTCCGTACATGCTAACCTGCTACTGTTCTTCAGTAAAGTGTAATACATACATACATGGCTTCAACAGAACTGGTTGACACAATGGAATGGCCGAACGACTTAAACCCATTTTACACCCAGGGTTATAATATTTACATTGTTTTATTTTTGTGTTAATTGCAGTTAAAAATTTTAATTTTTAATTTGCTCATGGTTTATTGGTGTGCAGTAACTTCCAATCGTCCGGGGTTTATCTGGTTTAAACAAACATTAAAAATTAATTTAGAAAATCTGTTGTAAAAGTTATGAAGTTTTAAAAGTAAGAAAGAAATGTAATGGCTTGTCATTTGACGTAATTCAATTGTTGCTAAAGCCTGACGTTTACGACAGTAGAATATAAGTATAGAATATAAATAAAAGTTGTTCGTATGTACCGTATTCAATTTTGTATAAAATATTTTCTGCTAATAGTAGATATTCGAAAATGCATATAGCGTATATCTAAAAATAAATTTACGTGTTTGTTAAATTAAATTGCTTTCATTTTGTTCGAATTATCCGGTAATTCGATTATCCGCAAAAGAAATCGAATCGAGAGCCTATTGTAATTAAAGACGCCATATTAACCCCGCCTTTAATTAATAGAATCTTCTGTTATTTAAAGTTACCGTCGTTAACTGTGTAGTATACAAAATGTACTTTACGTTTCCTACCAAATTAGTAGGGAATTTTCCTTGGGTTAAGTTAAGTCGAGATAATTAAATATACCTGTCCTAAGGTAAACAATTACGGAGATAAGGACATTGTAAGTTTTAAAGAAAGTTAATTCTTAAGCATTTGTCAATAACAAAACCATTGAATACAGAAAGAAAAATAAATTAAAAGCGAGTTTTTATTGTTATATAACGCATTTAGGAAGCTAACACGTAACCTTTCAAAGTCGACTGATTCACCGCGTACAGCATGGAGAAAAAAACACGCACCGAGATTGTATCGTACTTAAAATGAGTTAGTTATAAACATATAACAACAGAATTGTTAATTTAACATTTCTAAAACGACCAATCTGCAATTTGATTAAATGGCATATCTAACCTAAACACACCTTTTGCACTATTCATTAAAATCGATTTTAATATTGTCCTCCCATCCAGAAGTTGATCTGGAAGTGGTCTCGGGTTTTGCGACAAAAATTTTGTTCGCATTTCATGTGTGCTACGTTGCCATGCTAAAACCATCAGGGACTGAGCTTATTTACAAAGTGGAATATGACGAATACATTGCTGCTTTTTATTTATATAGCATATTACTGAGTTGTGTTACTTTACATTAACATCCATCTAAATGCATTTATGGAATATCTAGAAAAATATAATATTGTGATTTTTTGTGAAACAGTTTAGAAATTTGCTATGTAGGCCTATTTAAAACATTTAACCACAGATAATATGAAGACTTCGTGTAGAATTTAGAAGTAAATGCACAATTTAAATTTGAGAAAAATATGGAGTGTTTTAATATGGGTAACATTTGATAAACACTTTAATGCGCATTTGACAGACGAATAAACGTGCCCCAGCGAACTTACGTTTATGAACAAGGCCAAATATTTACCGACTGGAAAGGCACTTTTTTTAAACAGCGCAAGATAATTTTTGTTTAGGTGTAGGTGTTATTGATGAAAACATTTGGCCTATTGAGGAACAAACAACGTATCCATATACTTAAAAACAAATTTTTTAACAAAATATTTGTCGGTGCGAAGTATACGAAAGGGGCAGAAACAAGAGAACGCTAGTTTGCATTTGTTTGACTTGCATTGGTCTGCATAGCGAACGCACTCTGGTGGTTCTGTTTCTTATAAACTGGGCTCGTCTTTACATCTAAACAGTTGACAATCTGGATTTAGCTTACGGGTTAGTTCAGATGTCTCCTCTAAGTGGTGTGTAGTGTCGAATGATAGGATGACTAATGAATAATGAATTAGAGGGGTTTAAGACGAAAGTGTTTCTGATATAATTTGAGGTACTATTACGGAATTGCTAAGAAGGAATGAGAAAGATTTTTTAAAAAAATCTTAATCAGGATAGTTGGTCGCCGTACTGTGATTTAAACGAATAAAAGTCTTGGTGAATAATTCTTTATTTATGTTAAACGAAATCACATGAATACTAAACACGTGATTTAATTAGTGTTTTACATAAATTTAAGTGTATGAAGATTTCTTCAGTGTTTTTTTAGGCAGAAAACAGTGGGTAAGTACGGAAATATTTAAGTTTCTTGAAAATGAATTTGTATCTTGTGAATTATGAGAAAGAAGAAACTTCAAAAAAAAAATTTGATTCTTTATCTGTTTTTGGGTACTAAATAAACCTACAATAATTTGTCATTCTTACTTCAAAATCTGTCTACAGATATCGGTTTTCTAGTATTTAAATTTTTGATTTTGCATTTTGTAATTTTAAAACTCCACAACATCTCTACAATCTTGCAGACAGACGGTCGTAATAAATACTTCGTTTCAGTAAACTGTATTATAATCGTTTTAAGTGCACTAGAAATATTTATTATATTTATTTACGTTCCATAAAACTTTCTAACAATGTGAGCAGGGTTTTGTTTCTGCCTATAAAAATAATATTATTAAATGAATAATGGAGATAAATTTCCTTTGAGTTCTTCATAAAATAATGAACAATGTACCACTCGGCTCATTTTTTAATTCTTTTGATGACATTTAATTAGTCAGACTACCATATCAGTACACTACATACATAATATTTTATTACAATTCAATTATTGAATAATTCACTGTACAGTGTTTGTGTATGTTGATACTGCATATTTGTTGTTACCGTGTGCTATTTGTGGTAAAGTACAATGTTTGTTCTGTACTGAACCAATAAATTTTTAAAATTTCATTTTACTACCTAATAGTAAACAACAATTAGTCAGACGCTTGGTTTGATTCTCATTTGCCACTAGATTACATGGACGTTAACGCAGCTCGTGATGCACTGTTCAATTTAACATTTGTTCTTTGGGCCACTTTTAATCCCTGAATAAACGAAGGTTTTGAACGAGAAATTATATTATTCGAAAAAATAAGTATCTTAACGAAAGATGAAAACACTTAAAACAACTGGCAGGTTGTTACTAGTACATTAACTTGGTGCATCAAATCAAGACATTTTTCTTTTATTTTTAACAGCAAAGCATTCAATGTTCGTTTTTAACGTTACATCTCTGCTACTGAATAGCAAATGCTCTCACGAACAATGAATGTTCTCCAACTAGCAAATGTTCGCAAGAGACGTTCGTCACACGTTAAAACGAGAAACAATGTATATAAGCATTGTTCGCCTTGGTCTGTGCGCAACTTTACAGTCAATTTCTTTTTAACAATGCAAGGAAAATCTGTCATTTATTTGTTGAAAACATTGTGACATTTTATGTTCTCTTAGCGGCGTGTGTGAACACTACTTTTTTTGGAGTGTTGAACTGCGTAGTCTGATAGAAGTTTACCGACGTTTTATACGTTCCCTCTGCCTCCATCATCAGAGTTATGAGTCGGCGCAACACCACATAAGACTGTTTTATTATTCAAAACAGATTTATGTGCTCCTTACTGTTGAACGTAACGCAGAAGCTGTTTGTGTCTCTGACTATCCATAAATCTGTGTTGCCTGTTAAAATCCATGCAAGAAAAACTCTTGTCCATATGAGGGATAGAATAAATTGCAATGCGGACAACGGAACTATATTTTCCTCGCAGATTTCGATGGAATTTAAGAAGGAAGTTTGCTTGCTATTAGTAGGATATGAAGTTTTCACGGCGGTGAATCCGAAGATGTCTGTCTTCTGGATTGTAGTCTGGTGGAAGTTCGTCGATGATTCGGAGGTCCTTGCTGCTTCCATAATCAGGGCGACGAGTGATAATTGTTTATAATCTTCCTCTGTCTAACTAATTTCACGGAACATTAGTTTAAGTATATAAAATATCACGGGCGTACTTAAGTATTGTTGTAGGAAAAATGATCCTATGATATAGAATGTAAACATGCATCAGGGCGCCCTGATGATGGAGGTCATATCGGATCCCCGTGAGGTGTGTACAAAACTTTGAGAGTTTTTCTGTCGACTAGTGTAGATATCAAGTTCTAAGTACGTCGCATTTGTTCTCTGTATCATTTTGAAAGTATAATGTTCGTTTGTGCTCATCCTGTATAAAGAATACGCAATCTAGCACACGCCTTAGCCCGTTTCAACCGAAGCTTTCTGTAATACGTTCCCATCTGATAGAAGTACGAAGGATTGAGTTGTCTCGTCGTATGTGCTATCTTTTCATGGTCTTCTCTCCCCCCCCCCATACCTGCCATTGCTCCTGCCCTTCCTTCCCCTCTTTCGGATTTGCAACGGTCAAAGAAGTTCGGGAATTGTTTTGAGTCTACTTGTGATCACAACTGCTATTACGTTTCACCACAAACATCTTAAGATAGCAGGAAAAATATTGCCAGAGACCGATTCTCGTAATTTGAGTGGAACGCAGGGAAGTTGATCAGATTGTGGAGTTGGGGGCTTGCGCGCAAGAGCGGATTTTCTGCCGCAGCGGTAAAACTACCGCACGTGCGCTCGCTTCCTTCTGAAGCAGTGCGTTCCATCAATGCGGCAGAAAAACTGCTCGTGCGCGAAGGGTCTTAAGAGTGTCGGTTCCGGCTCACGCATTTTGTTACTCTGACGATGCAAGCGACTGCTAACGCCTTTGTCTCAAGGTCGGTCTCAGTTGCCTTTGTAATCCGCATCGGCAAAGTCTGTCATTGGGAGCCCGGAGGCATTTGTTGAGGTGACGCTGTGTTCGGGGGTGCCCCGTTCGAACTTAGGCTTTTCCGGGTTAGCTCAGCCCGCGGCCCTCGTGCCATCCAGCTCGTGTTGCAGTGTAAACTGTACGTAACTTCCTTACGAGATAAGTCTCTGCCTTGAGATGGGTCACTTCATATTCTGTTCACGTAATTTTAAGTTTGCCATAAGCGTTCGGCGGTAAGTAGCATTTGCTGCTGATACAGCACAATTAAACGACGTACTCGGTGCAGTACATCCAAAATAACGACCATCATTTAAACCGTCTGTCTTCAGCGATGGCTGCCAGGGCTGAGGTCCAATCCCTTGTGTCTTACAAAAATAAGATTTTGCACTGAAGTAATCCACCTGATGATAGGAATCCATTCCTCAGCAGGTGTCCCCGTGGACGTGTCCGTATTGTACTGCGTCTTCAGTTGGTAATGCAGTCCACTGCTCGTGAGACATAGTTGCTAAAATATAGTTTTGTGACGCCATCTTTACTGTGTTATAGCATTAATTATTGTTACGGAAGACGCGAGTGATCTGATTGCGTCATTTGTAGTTTTCACCTCGTCTGTTATTGTAATCATTTAACCCATCCCTGAGGACTTTTGAGTTGAGACAGTTCTAATTTATGCAGGCCTTTGTCAAATTAAGACACGGTCTAATAACCACACAAAACAAATACACATACAAATGAACTGGAAAACAGGAAATTGATAACAATGCATGACGACTATTCTAGGTTGTTGAGATTCTTTCTACGTGGCTTACTAAACGCCCTGATGACGGAGGCGGCAAGCAACTCTGAAACGTGTGTAAACTTCTACCAGATTACACAATGTAACAAACCAGAAGACAGCCATCTTCATATTCGATGCTGTCAGAACCTAAAATCTCACCTAAAACAATAATAAAAGTTGATGACGGCCTGTAAACCTCATGCAGTGTTACCTATAGACTTTCCATGGAAATTAAAAATGACGTCTTAATGAATGATGCTTGGAAAAGCAGGGTCTGTGTAATGGAAATCATATGTAGAGAGCAAATATTACACGAAAACACTTTCTTACGTTCGTAAATTAAGTAGACGAAAATGGCAAAAAAACGTTCAATGCCTACTTCCATTGTAATTTGATTGCACGTTTACTGAATTTTTGCTTCGTAACAAGGAAAGTGTCTCAACCTTGGTCTACAGGATGATTAACGACGTAAACATACAGCCTTTGAGTCCGACACTTATCGCCCATTTAAAAGAATATTAACTAAAATAAAAATGTTGATATACAAAAGAGGTTTTACGTTCCGAAATTATTAAAAAAAACCACCTTATGGGCAAAGTCTGTCTGCCACATGCGTTCTGTTGGTAACACTGTAACTCGGCGTCTTTGTTGCAACAGTTGGCGCGCGACAATGGGAGTCGAGGGTATTATTATAATTCATTGTTGCAACTAAGGGAACCAAGGTCATTGTTTAGGCACGCGCTTTTCTCAGGGACGCAACCACCGCGTATAACGAGAGTCTCCTGTATTAAAGTGCTTAAAGATTGAAGATGTGAAGGCGTGAATTTGTTTTAATACGCCGGCGGTGGGGGGTGGAAGGTTTCATTTGGATGTTTCCATGGTGATGGCTGTGAACTTTGGGGTTTCATGCCAGCAAATAGTTTTTGGTTAAGTAAATTCTTTTGAGCGTTGCCCTGTTTTATTACAGTTAAGAGAAAATATTCGGAGATGCGTGCGAAGACATAAATATGACGCGGACTTGTCCGAAAACAGCAAAACTTGGGTGTGTGAATTAACAGGGTTGTAACACAGAATCTGGGACCTGCCGTATGACGTCACGTGACGCAATGCCGTTTCACAGAGGCTTCTAATTGACTACAAATTGGACTGCTTACACATATTAAATTCTTCCCAAGCATGGCGAGTCATAAAATCAGTAGATGTGAAGACTGTTATACAATCTTGGATTTCTTACACGTGCAATAAACATCAGGCGTAGTTGCGAAATTTCGCGTGGAGAAATTAGTTGGCAGTTGGAATACAGGATGATGTCTGAAGATATTAATTAATTGATTAATTTTTAGTGGGACTCCACTAATTAAATTATTGCACAATTTTATTTTCTGTGTCGTCTTGGTCAGGGGAATCCAAAACGCAGACGGTGTAACGTTGGCCTAATATGGGTCATTCACGAAATGCGTGTGAAGTTGGCAAAGAATTTTATGAACAACTGAGCAACAAACATTTTAAAGAAAGCCCTTCATTATGGAATCAATTGATTGGTAAAAGTACCGACTCTGAAATTCTATTTGTCTCCAGTTACATACTCAAGTCATACGGTGAGTGACTTTGATGTCTGCAAAATATTCACTTTGCTTGCGTCTGTAACCTTTGTCGTATTTTTCAGTTGGACA